TGCGCGTGTGCATGTGTGTGTGCGTGCACGTGTGTGTGTGTGTGTATGTGTGTGCGTGTGTGTGTGCGTGCGCGTGTGCATGTGTGTGTGCGTGCACGTGTGTGTGTGTGTGTATGTGTGTGCGTGTGTGTGTGCGTGCGCGTGTGCATGTGTGTGTGCGTGCATGTGTGTGTGTGTGTGTGCGTGGGTGGGTGCGTACGTGTGTGCATGCGTGTCTGGAGCTGAGACACTATGCATTAATCGTCTGCTTTGTTAACCGGAGAGACTCTTACTTCTCGTTTACGTGTTAGCAGAGTACGCTCTTACGGCAGCCATTCTTTAGTCTCTTGTTCTGCTTGTTCCCATCCCTTACAATGATACGGATTCCAGTCTTCATAGCGTGTGTTTATATAACTACCAAGCAATTAGGTTACGCTCATAAATACTTACTCAACAATTATATTATAAAACGATTAGGTTAATATTGCTAGTTGCTAGCAATTTGGTCTACATTTACATCTACTATAAACAAGGTGTATTGCTGTTTGAAACTGTTAAACAATTGAGATTCCGAACAAGCGTTCACCGCGATTGATTACAGAAAGTGGATGTTGATGCGAATTGTTGCCATGGCTCACACTCCATCTATCCATCGATCTATGCTACACACGTACGCACGCACGCACGCACGCACGTACGCACGCAGAAACGCAGAAACGCACGCACGCACGCACGCACGCACGCACGCACGCACGCACGCACGCACACGCACACGCACGCGCACACGCACACGCACACGCACACGCACACGCACACGCACACGCAATAATCGATCTATGCTACACACACCTGTTGGCATACCAGATCAGTGCGGGGAAACATGTCAAGGTTTATAATCATTGACCATTGCCTGCCGCGGCGAGGCAATGCCAAGAATAGAGAAGGCAGATAATTACTATACCCGTGTATAGATATGTGTTTACTCTACCGTATATATACCAAGTATATACCCGTGCTAATAGTACCAGTGTAGCCCCCTACTGCCCAGGGGGTATTAGTACCCGTGTACCCCGCACTACCCAACGGTATTACTACTCATGCATTGATATGTTATTACTATACCCTATAATTATATATATGTACACCATGTACTCCCGTACTACCCAGGGGGTATTAGTACACGTGTATCCCCATACTACCCAGAGGTATTACTAAACGTGTACATCCGCACTAAACAAGGGTATCACTACCTGTGTACCCCCGCACTACCCAGGTGTATTAGTACCCATGTACTCCCGTACTACCCATGGGTATTACTACGCGTGTATAGATATGTGATTACTAAATCGCGTGTACCCTGGTACTAACCTGAGGTATTACTACATACCAGGGAGCTAAATATAACAAGGAGAAGAAGCGAATTGGCTGTGTGCTTTTCGCCTCAAGGGCGCTATCTATGGACCATAATCAGCTGAAACGGCTGCGCAGACCGAACTCAGAGACAATAGAACACTAATCTGTCCTAGGGTCTTTGCCGAACCCAAATTTGGGCCAGATATAACGGCGCTTCCTCTCCTTGTTATATTTAGCTCCTTGCCACATACCAGGGTACCTACTACTTTATGTAAGAACCTGGCATTGAGAACCTGGCAAGAAATTGACATTTACGATGTGCAATAAAATATTACGATGTCGCAATGTTATATGTACAACATATATAGTGTCATGAGGCTGACGTGTTACAAACTAGATCGGCGTGTAGTAATAAACGACGTATACATATACACCCATGACAACGTTAACAATGTTACAGTGTATATATTATAGTAACATGACGTGGTCATGATGAGTTAGTTATGATGTTGTGATATTACCAGGCGTGTATAATATAGTTATCTATATTAAACACTGCTGATATATAAACACTATATGCTGTCCCGCGACGCGATATCAACGTTATAAACCTGTCATTCCATGAAAGAGACACGATATATAGCTTATACCAACATGTTCTGCTTGCATCTATGACAAATACGACATACGCATATACGCTCTCTGATGATACTTTTGTCATAGGAAGATCCTTTTTCCTATGACAAATAATGGCGAGGTCAAACTTCGTTCCGCCCCTTTACAGCTGAAATTCACTTGCTTGCGTTCATAATAGCGCTCCGTAAAATCCTATGATGCTTAAAACACACTCAACAATATTTGTCATTTTCAGGAGAATCTTCCTATGACAAATTAGTGCCTTAGGAGAGCGGTATATGCGTATGTCGTATTTGTAATTAGATGCTAGCAGAACAGGCTGCTTATACACTACCAAGCGAAGGGACGGTTAGTATTTCGATGGTGAATGGGTCAATTTTATGCGTCTAAGAACGGTGAAATACCAAATAACGTTTAAAAAATCAAGATTTTTACAATTTAAAAAAACAAAAAAAAACTAAAACTGAGAACTTTAAACTGGGAATTGCGAGTTCATTTTAACTGGAAACTGGGAAATAGTAGGGTTTATGACCTGATACGCGGGGAATGGACATGCACCTATCACCGTTCCCTTTCTATCAGGAATAACATGGTACGATTTCGCAATGCAATACCGTTAGCGATATTAAAATATAGCAGCGCATCAATTGTTACAACGCCGTAACGATTCAACACAACGGTACGACGTGTTCCATTGGCAACCTCCGTGTACTTTTCACTAACACGACAATGTTGCACGAACGACCCCATGCTGCACGGCTACTCCGTGCAACATCGGTGCAAGTTTGCGAAGATGACAACGTTATAATGACGCCATGCGGTGTTACGACGTCATTAACGCCAGTAATACGTAGTAAACGTTAGCATGGCTTGTTGTTACGAATTGCGTTAACTTTTTTTACCGCAGAGCAGAAGGCAATATTCGAAGCAGAGGTGAGCGTGCGTGCGTGTGCGAGGCGGGACCGAACGGGATTTCTCCGTATCCCGGACGGAGCACACGTACACACACACACCACGCAAACGGAGACTCAATCCGGTTATACGCGCGTACGTACCGCGATCCGACTTTGGTTAATCTATAGCGCTGGTCCGGTTCCGATCCCAAGCACTGTTATCGTTACGATTCGATTTCGATTCCAAACACTGTTAGCGGTTCGATCCGGGTTTGGGTTTAATCACTGTTAGCGGTTCGATTCAGGTCCAATTCCAGTCACTGTTTCGGATCCGATTCGAAACCGATTTCGATTCGGTTAGAGACCACAGACGTTCGCCGGCACACTGCTGTCTATCCTCCTACCCTCTCTCGCTCTCTCGATGGCACGCTCAGACCACTATTAACAGATTCCGATATGAATCTAGATGTATATATATAATGAACTCGAAATATTCATGTGAACTCTATATGTATGTATAGCGCTTGGCCGCTGACTCCTGCGGCTACACATACGACACTAGCGATGCGTAGCCAGTGACTGTAGTATCACTACCGACACCAGTGGCGCTCTCTCCTCATCTCTCTTTTTTTCCCCTTCAGAGATCTCTCTCTCTCTCTCATCTGCTTCCAGCCTCCGGTGCAGCTTCTCTTTACACCCGGGGAAATTGAAAAAGGTCACATCAAGCGGTTAAACTCGCCGCAGCCAAGTCACGTAGCCGCGGGAGTGAGAGAGGAGAGAGGGGGGGGGAGAAGAGTGAAATAGGAACTAGATCAGCGGGTGATCAGTCTGGTAACAGCACGCGGTGGAGTTCTGGGTGGTGTGTGTGTAGGGGGGGGGGTGAGTTAAACAGGCTAGAAGGCGTTACTAAGCCCATAATTCCCAGTAGATCTTATGCGACCCGAGGACGTCAACTACAAATAATGAGGAGCGAGAGAGAGAGAGAGAGAGACAGGAGAGAGAGCGAAAGAGTAGAGAGAAAAGACGCAGAAGAGGGGGGAAAAAGAGGAGAAACGTGAGAGGACGTTAGAAGAGAGAGAGAGAAGAGAGAGAGAGAGAGAGAAAGAGAAAAAGAGATAAGAGAGAGAGCAGGAGAAGAGAGAGAAGAAAGAGAAAAGAGAAAGTCGAGAGAGAGAGAGATGAGAGAGAAAGAGAAAAAGAGAAGAGAGAAGCGAGAGAGAGAAGAGAGAGAGAGAGAGCGGGAAAGAAAAGAGAAGAGAGAGAAAAAGCTGAGAGGAGGGAGAACGAGAAAGACGTGAAAGAGAGAATGGAAGAGAAAGAGAGGTTGCGTGTGTGTGAGAGAGAGAGAGAGAGAGAGAGGGGGAGCGAGAGCGAGAGCGAGAGAGAGACAGAGAGGGAGAGATAGCGAAATACTCTTGTCACGGATCGTGGACCCCGCACCGTGGTCACGCCGAGGCAGACCCAAAAACCTAGATAGTGTCCCGTACGCCACGCTGCAGCAACCCAGCCAGCAACCAAGACAGCGGCACCGCCTCGTGCGCGTGCGCCGGAGAGAGCCCTCATAAATACCACATTATCGTTACTTTCAATTTTCGTGTTTCTTTCACCGACCGCAGCGACATTCCGTGTAGTGGCGGGGAGGGGAGTTGCAACTCCATGAAATTGTTTGCACGCGCGCGCGCGCCCATACACGCATGCACAGTAGTCACAAACGCATGCAGGCTTGCGCGCATGCACATACACGCCAACGCAGTAGTCATGAACGCACGCGCGTGTACACGAACAACGCAAATAAACAAACTAACTAACCAATAAACACCTAACAAACAAAGATTCATGCACACAATGAACAAACAAACAAACAAAAACATACATTAGCATATGAGGAATTCGCGCGATGCTTCGAGCGAAGTTAATTAACTATTTATTATTAATTATATATGGAAATATATATTGATATAACTATCTATTATTAATCTATAATATTATAGCTTTTTGAATTTTGATATTTTAGAATTTTATCAAGCACACGTACCGTCAGCCTGCCCGCAACCAGTTTGAACGTATGGGAACGGCCGATGATAATGCTCTTGGCAGTCAACGGTAACCGCCGCACGAGCGCCATCTACCTGTAGATTATAGCCTATGTTGGGCGCGGACACGTCGGCGACCTGTCGCAGAAAGGAAATGACTTAATGACTATAAATGACATTAATGACGTTAATGAGCTTCGCATGTTATCTATGCATGTCACACCCTACATTAAATGCTTATAACGTCGGCCCTAAGTCATCTCTTTTAATTACAATTATCGTAATTGCATATCACGTAATTTTATGTTTCATTATTTGCTAAATGATGTCATATCTTGAGTTTACTATTACTTTAACTGTAAATGGCGGAATTTAGTGTTTATTATTTCCACGCGGATTACATATCTGTAGTTACTATTACCCTAATTATATATGTCGTGTTAATTATTTTCGCACTGATCACATATTTGTATTTACGTACTGTTTCCTATATTAATGATTCGGAATGTCATGTCAATTATTTCTACATTTATAACTTATGATTAGGCCTACTATTATCCTGATTGCATTTTGCGGAATTTCATGTTAATTATTTTTGTTTTTATGTTATGTTGTTTCATGATAAATACACCATTCACGCATTCAGCCTATTAGCAACTGTTTTGACAACTGGTACAGGTGTCATTGTCAAGCTGACCTATATGCTAGGTGCACTTACGTGACCTATATGCATCCGGCCACGTGCGCAGGTCGAATTCTCACAAGCACGCTGAACGCTAGCGTACATTCTATACCTGCGTCTGTATCAGCGTCTATGGCAAGCTTATGGACGTTATTATTTCAGATATCAGAGTTAATTTACATCTTTTAAGCCCGGCGCACACGTGAGTTATTTTACTCAAGTAAAATGACGCATG